ACCAAGCCTGCCAAGGCACCCACAACCTACTAGTTCAACGACGTCATCGGCATGGATATCTTCTTCCTGCTCGGCCCCGGGAACATCACCCGAATCTCCATGCTCAACATCGTGTGCCACAACACGGTATACCAAATCGTGGTGCCACTTCCGAATCGACACGGACACCAAATACGACGTCATTATATAGCCTTCTGGAAGCGAGTTTACGGCATACCTCGCGGCATCGTGGTTGACGGTGGGAAAGGCTTCTCGGTGGGCGCGTTTACTGACGCTGCCGAAGGAGACGGTACTGAGGTGAACATGACAAACGCTACCTCACCATGGCAGGCCAGCAAGACGGAACGCGCGGGAGGTACCTGGAAGGAGACATTCTACAGGACCAGGCAGAAGTACAACGCCAACAACTGGGACGACTTCTATGAGCTGGTGTATTCCGTCAACGTTGCCATGGGAGAGAGCGTGCGCAGAGGAGGTTTTGCACCCTACCCACGGGTATTCGGCAGGCCATTCAAGCTACCTGAGAAGATCTTGGAAGAAGGGTCTCCGAGTCTAACGACGGTGTCTCGCGCCATGAACGGAGACGCGGAGCTGGCGAGGAGTATCGATATGCGCAAGGCGGCCATGGCAACATACATCGAGGCATAATGGTCTGAGAAGTGGAGGCACGCACTCAATCGAAGGACCCGACCACCGCGGGGGACTACGTTTCAGCCTGGAGATCGATGCTGCTTTTGGAGAAGCAGTTCCGAGAAGCTGCCTGAGAAGTCATGGCACGGACCCGCGCGCGTTATATTCAGACGGAGTTGAAGAACACGATCTGGTGCTCATTCCAAGGAGGGCTGCTAAAGTGTTTCCCTGAGCAGCTGCGACACGCCAACGAGAGCGAGATGACCGCCAGGGAGCAGGTCGACCGCTCGATGCAAGAGGAGCTGAGCACCGAGAACCGCGGGAGACGCAAGTATGAGGACCCTACCCGACAGGAGGGGCCACCTAACGAAGCAGAATATACAGTGCCGCAAGCAGCACCACCTGAACCAGCAGGAGCGATCAGCCCACATCCTCGTGGCAGCCGCCCATCAAGGAGATCGAGAAGGCAACAGAAGTGGAACCAAATCCAATACCCATGATGACCCAACACTACTGTCATTTGGACGACGCCCCTTTCACCATCAAGCAGAAGTCCGACAACCTGACCTCAGCCATACCGGTGTCGGAGCGCATTGCGACGATCGAGGAGAAGATTTTGAAGGACGCGTCGGCATCATCCAAGAAGATCAAGAAGGGCAAGGGCAGCAACATCGCCAACGCACTGCTCACCAACACCAACCAGCGCATGCGGAAGAAGATCACCGAGAAGCCTCTGGTGAACACCTACAAGTACCAGCCCTGCATCGCGGCCAAGCGCCGACAGTGGAACAATATTACGACCGCCGAGGCCGTGAGGGTACTACCTCCTAGGGTAGCTGGTAGAGCACAGAGCGATCCTGAGCTAGCCAAGCGTATCATGGGATCAAGGTGGGTACTGACCGACATCGGCGGTGGACAAACCTCCCTTTAGTAAACCTCCCCTTAGTGAAAACGGCCTGGGACCGAAACCGACGGACCTGGACCCGCGAGAATGGCGGCCGCGACGCCCTCTCGCGAACCGAAAACGGCCAATTCGCTGATCGACGTGTCAGAGCAGGAGGCCTGTCCACCCCCAAATCATGGGATCAAGGTGGGTACTGACCTTATGTCGGGCGTGTCCCCCTACAGGGGGATTTTCGACGAAATATAAAAAAAAACCCAAAAATGTCCAAAAAGGTAAAAAATACCCCCAAAATAGTCCCCAGACTATTTTTGGACTATTTTTTCATTATTTGTGGTGTATTTTTTATTCTTCGTCGAAAATCCCCCTGTAGGGGGACAGGCCCGACTTAATACTGACCGACAAGGATGGGGATCCCGAGGAGGCCGACGCGAGCAAGAGGCCGCTGCTGCTCCCGAGCGGTGGGCGCCCGGAGGATGGCCGGGGCACGCTGGACCGTCCCAGGCCCAGGCCGACCCTGATCTGCTGGAGCTCGAGGCTTACAGATATTCCTGCTCCTCCTCCTCCTCCTCCTCCTTCTCCTCCTCCTCTCCTCCTCTCTCCTCCTCCTCCTCCTCCTCCTCCTCCTCTTCTTCTCCTCTCTTCTTCTTCTCCTCCTTCTTCCTCCTCCTCCTCCTCCTCCTCTCCTCTTCTTCTCCTTCCTTCTTCTCCTCCTCCTTCTTCTCCTCCTCCTCCTCCTCCTCCTCCTCCTCCTCCTCCTCCTCCTCCTCCCCCTCCCCCCCGCGGGTCCCGTGCTCCCTCTCCGCCGGGGTGGCACGCCCCCATCCACGGAAGCGGCGAGCCGAGGCGGGCGGAGGGGAGGACCCGTTGTGGGAAAAGGCTCGGTGTTTCTGATCCTACAGATCCTGTGCACCAGCGAATGGGCGCTGCAGCTCGCAGACATCACCTCAGCCTTTTACCGCAGGAGGCCCCATCGACAGGTCCCCATGGGGAGCCTGTGCGTGGAGCTGCACCTGCACTGGGGTCCTCGACGTCGAGTATGGTTCGCTGGTTCGCTGGTGGAGTTGCTCGAGGCAGTGTACGATCTTGGAGACGCCCCAGTACAATGGCTGTCGGCTTTCACGAAGTGCGCGAAGGCCATTGGCTTCAAATGCTCCATCTTCGACGGCTGCGCCTTCTATCTGCGGGGCGCCAAAGCTTACACGGAATCATGGGACTTACCGTGGATGACATCGTGGGAAGTGGCGACGCCAAGTTCGACGAGGCCTGCGAGAAGCTGCGCAAGATATTCCCTGTCGGTGCCTGGCGTCTCAAGAAAGGAAAATACACGGGCAAGGAACTGACGCAGAACGAGGACAACACCGAGATCACGGTATCACATAGCAAACGTTCAGCAAACATTCAATTGATCAACACCGCGACGGAGCGTCGGAAGGGGACACAATCTGCTGTGACACCTAAGGAGCTACACCAAGCAAGGAATCTGTGGATCCATTTTGCTTCTTGCCGGCGAGAGCCGACCAGATCTATCAGGGCCAGTGTCCCTACTTCAAGGGAAGACGCCCAACTTTACGATGGAGGACCTTGTGGAGGCCAACCGCGTGGGACGCATGACCAAGAAGTTCTGCTCGGTGACGCTGAAGATACAGCACATCCCTTTCCACGAGCTTGCCTTCGTCGCCTTCAACGATGCGGCATGGGCCAACGCACGGGATGGAGCTTCACAAGCTGGCTACATCGTGTTCTCAACACAGCGCAAGATCTTGAAGGGCGAGGCGGTCACCATCTCCATCCAAGCCTGGAAGCGCCACACATTGAAGAGGAACTGTGATCACCACTTAGGTATGGAGACGCTGGTCATTTCGGAGGGCATGACCATGGCAGAGTCTATCAGGATAATGCTTCTGAAGACTGTTGACCCAGAGTTCGACCTCGTGCGGCCCTATCTCCCTGCAGGACGCTTCCCAGTCGTCAGCGTCACGGACCGTAGAGGAGGCTGTGGCCACGCCGCCAATCCGAAGGCGGGCCAGGCAGAAGACAAAGGGGGCAGCGATAGGCGTGGCCGTCGTACGAGCCGCCATGCGACGACCTGAGGTTCATTTGCGATGGATCGAGGGCACGAGCCGGCTGATGGATCCACTCACCAAGAGGAAGGGTTAGGCCGGGCCTGTCCCCCTACAGGCGGATTCTGGGCGACAGATTCAAGATACTCGAGAAATGCGCCAAACATGCTCAAACATGGTAGAAACATCGTCCCCAGACTATTTCAGGACTATGTTTGAAAATCCCTCCTGTAGAGGGACGGGCCCGACTTAAAGAAAGGGCGAGAGCACGCTTCTACGACACGCTCTGGAGCAATGAGAGTATGGCATCACCTCGGACAGCATCGTGCTTCGCCGACGGGGAGAAGAGCGAAGCCAACGAAAACAGGAAAGACAGTCGCCGTCTCCGTCAGACGTCGTCTCCGTCGCCCCCTTTCTCTGCGCCCCTCCTCAAGCTCGTCGGCGAGAGAAAAATCTAGCGACGTCGTAACCGAGTCGAAAGGAAGCTCCTTCTCTTTGATCCCTTCCCCGCGCCAAAGGGGGGGGGGTCCCTGGAGGGTCCTGGGGGGGATCGCCACCCAGATACGTTTTCCCCCCCTGGGGGCCCTGGGGCCTCAGAAAGTATACCAAGATAGACCAAGAGTGCCCAAAGAGGCCGCCGAGACGGTCCAATAGGATCCCCAATCGCCAAACGATCGGTCCAAAACGCCTTCACGCCCTCCAGGAGGCCATGATGCCCCAAGACGCTTCCAAGAGCACCCCCGAGAAGGCCCCAAGAGGCCAAATTCATTGATTTTTATTGGTTTTTGAAAGATTTGGGCGTTCTCGCCATTTCCACTTCTCTCCGCTCCCAAACGGCGCCAGAGGGCCCCAAGATCTCCCCAAGACGGCCCAAGAGGCCCCCAAGAGGGCTCCAAAACAGCTCAAGAGGACCCCAAGACAACCCCAAACGCCTCCAAGACGGCCCCAGATGCCCCCAAGACGGCTCCAAGAGCGCGCCCAGACGGGGGACCCGAACGGACATTTCGACCCTTCGGCCTCAAGAGGCTCCCAGGAGGCCCCAAGAGGTTCCCCAGAGGCCCACAAGAGGTCCCCAGGAAGGCCGAAGAGGCCCCCAAGAGGCTCCCAAGAGGCCCCCAAGAGGCTCCAAGAGATCTCAAAATTCCTCCCCAGAGGCTCCCGAGAGACTTCCGAAGAGACCCCAAGAACCATCCCTGAGGACTCCCCACGTCAGCGTCGTCGTCGTTGCCGCCGTCGCCGTCGCCGTCGCCGTCGCCGTCGCCGTCGCCGTCGCCGTCGCCGTCGCCGTCGTCGTCGTCGTCGTCGTCGTCGTCGTCGTCGTCGTCGTCGTCGTCGTCGTCGTCGTCGTCGTCGTCGTCGTCTCACTTCAGGGTCGGCGGCACTGGCCGTAAGGCCTTCGCAATAACATTGGCAGCCTTGCTTGCTCTTGGCTATCAGCGTCTGCATCTCGCGAACCACCCAATGAATAATAAGAATGTTGCACATAACAATCCACGTGAGGTACCGAACACACATGCCATGATATTTCCCTTGGTATCCTCGTTGTTGCACGCTCCATGCGCCATCAGGAGGGACCCCCACGTCGCACATTTCTGATGAGGTTGAATGCCACGTAAACGTCCCCACAACCACCAGAAACGTCCGCCATGTGTACTGTACCATTCAGGGCTGTACCCGCAAGACACCACGATCGGCGAGGGCCGTACCGACTGACAGTGGGAGCCCGCACCGCTGCACAGTTCGGTGAGGCAGGCGTGAAACGCTTGAAACAGAGGAGCAACAACAGCACAAACATAAACCTTTGGCGGTCCGCGCGGATGTCTTGGATCTGAGCTGGACCCCCCCTTGCCTGGGACGCGGAGCGCGCCACCAGGGGCAGCGCTGGAGGCGCCGCCGGGGGAGCCCAGCGCGGATCCCCAAAAATCGGCGTGGGGCGGCAACACTTTATGCTTATGCCGTTTTTCCTCCCTCGACTGACTCGGAGCACCCACGCTCTCACAGACTCAGCTTGTAGCGGTCGGCTTGGCGCCCGTCCTCGGACGAGGCTGCGCCCGACGGTGGCGCCGCCGCCCCAGAGCTCGCCGCCCCAGAGCTCGCGGCCCGCGGCACCACCTCGCGAGGGGCAGCGCTGTGGGGGAGCAGCTCCGGGGGAGAAACGTCGAGCTGGAATCGGCGACGCACCGCCGACAGGTCGGCGACCGGCCCCCGACAGCGAATCCTCAGGCGCCCCGGCGGGGCGGGGCCGTCGGGCCCCCCTCGGCGACATCCGCGGGCGACTGGGGGTCGCCGCGCTCCCCACTGAGCGTGCTCCCCCTCGTCGTTGCCCTGGGCCTCGTCGCGAGCCACCGCGTGATCCCGCTGTTCCGCCACAGATGGCTCCGTCGACGAGCCCGCCGCCCCCTGCCCGGCGCGGGCCCCGTCCGCCGGCCCGGCCGCCGCCTGCCCCGAGCTCGCCGCCTGCGCCTGGGAGGCAGCCTGCTGCTCCGCGTGGGCGCGCGCCTCTCGATGATCCTCAGAACGTGCGCCAGCGCCAAGGATGGATGCCCGTGTGAGCCTGTGCCCTGGCAGACATGTACGCGGCCTTCACGGTCTGAAGCTGCTCCGCCGCCCGCGGCTTCCTCTCCCCTCTCCGTGCCTTTCCGTCTCCCGCTGTGCCCCATCGGGCCCCGAAGCGTCCCTCGGCTGCCCCGTCCGCGTCTCGGGCCCAAATCGCCGCATGATCAAAAATACTCCGCCAGTCGGACCCCGCACGAGAATCGATGCAACTTGCCCCTCGTTTTTTGCTTCTTCGTCTGGCGGGGGCTTCCTTCCGCCCTCTCCGTCCTTCTCCTCCTCCTCCTCATCCTCCTCCTCCTCCTTTTCCTTCTTTTCCTCTTTCTTTTCCTTCCCGTCTTACTCGTTACATGTCTCATCCTCTTCCTCATCCGCCTCGTCGTCCTCCTCCTCCGCCTCCTCCACTTCATCCCTCTACTTTTCATGTGCCTCCTCCTCCTCGGCCTTTGGTTTGCCCTCCTCCACCTCCTCCTCCTTTTCCCCATCCTCATCGCCGCCCCGCTCGTTCTCCCCCTGCACTTCTCCTTCCTCCTGACAGGGGCGCGCGCGTAGATTTTCCTCGGCGCCCTCGCCGCCACGCACGCCTGGCAGGGGCGCGTTCTCCGACAGCGAAATCGCGCACCCGTCGGGGACAACCCCGCGGGACAACCCCGCGAGCCGCTGGCGCACGAGACCAAGCCGTTGGGATAATCCCGCGGGCTCCGAGCGGGGCGCCGCCGCGCTCAGGCGGGGGGCAGCACGAAACCCAGCTCTGCCGCGAACTGCTCCGCCTCTGCCCTGGAGCTCTCCGGTCTGAAGTCGAACTCCAGGAGTGCCTTCCGCAAGGATGCCGGCGGCCCTCGCTCCAGGAACTCTCGCGGCGGCGGCCGCACGATCAGCATGTTCCGCATGCGCGTGGCGCGGGAGAACATGACGTAGAGGTGCAGCCACTGCTCGTCCGACATGCCCGTGCGACCAGTGTCCTCGCCCCTCGCGCAGTCGATCGTGACGTCTTTGTGCAGCGTCTGGCCCTGCCACTGCGTGGAGGTGAAGTACGACGCGTGCGTCATGGTGAACCCCGATGACCCGCTCGGATTAAAAACGTGAGCGGCGTGCCCAATACAGAGAGGGCTCCCGCCTGAGACTTCCTCGCAATTCGCTCACAAACGAGGCTCCCGCCTGATACTTCCTCCATATTCAGGCCTCAGGGGCCTAACTGTGACGACAGTTACAGGAGGCCGATGATCCGCCTCGGATAACAAATTACCCTGGCGACGTACCCAACCGCTGCGCAATGCGGGGCATGAGTAGCTTGGGAGACGTTATACGGCGGTGATGACGTGAGATGGGCGCATCTACTTCTGCGAGCGGCGATCGTGAGGCTCGCAGCCCCCCAAGGATTGCGAGATCCAGCTCAGATCTGCGTGGTGCCCCACTCCGCTGGACCCGCCACCAGCCTTCGAAAGTAGCGACGGTTTCGCAGATCGCAGCCCCTCAAGGACGACGAGATCCCGCTCAGACCTGCGCGGTGCCTCACTCCGATGGACCCACCATCACCCTTCGAAAGTGGCGACGGTTTCGCAGATCGCAGCCCCCCAAGGATTGCGAGGTCCCACTCAGATCTGCGCGGTGCCTCACTCCGCTGGACCCACCAGCAGCCCTCGAACGTGGCGACGGTTTCGCAGATCGCAGCCCCCCAGGGACGGCGAGATCTCGCTCAGATCTGCACGGTGCCCCACTCCGCTGGACCCACCAGCAGCCCTCGAAAGTGGTAATCGTTTTGCAGATCCCTATGCTATCCCCCCAAGCAGCCCTCGAAAGTGGTGACGGTTTCGCAGATCGCAGCCCCCAAAGGACGGCGAGGTCTCGCTCAGATCTGCGGGGCGCCTCACTCCGCCGGACCCACCAGCAGCCCTCGAAAGTGGCGGCAATTTCGCAGATCGCAGCCCCCCATGGACGGCGAGGTCTCGCTCAGATCTGCGCGGTGCCTCACCCCGCTGGACCCACCAGCAGCCCTCGAAAGTGGCGACCGTTTCGCAGATCGCTATGCTGGCCCCCCAAGCAGCACTCGAAAATTGCAACAATTTCGCAAATCGCAGCCCCCCAGAGACGGCGAGGTCCCGCTCAGATCTGCGCGGTGCCTCACTCAACTGGACCCACCAACAACCCTCGAAATTGACGACAATTTCGCAAATCGCAGCCCCCCAAAGACGGCGAGGTCCCGCTCAGATCTGCGCAGTGCCTCACTCCGCTGGACCCACCAGCAGCCCTCGAACGTGGCGACGGTTTCGTAACCCCCCAGGGACGGCGAGGTCCCGCTTAGATCTTCGCGGTGCCTCACTCCGCTGGACCCACCAACAGCCCTCGAACGTGGCGACGGTTTCGCAAATCGCAGCCCCCGAAGGACGGCGAAGTTCAGCTCAGATCTGCGCGGTGCCTCACTCCGCTGGACCCACCAGCAGCCCTCGAAAGTGGCGACGGTTTCGCAAATCGCAGCTTCCAAGGACGGCGAAGTTCCGCTCAGATCTGCGAGGTTCCTCACTCCGCGGGACCTACCAGCAGCCCTCGAACATGGCGACGGTTTCGCAGATCGCAGCCCCCCAAAGACGGCGAGGTCCCGCTCAGATCTGCGCGGTGCCTCACTCCGCTGGAACCTAGCAGCCCTCGAAAATGGCGACAGTTTCTCAAACCGCACCCCCCCAAGGACGGCGAGGTCCCGCTCAGATCTGCGCGGCGCCTCACTCCGCTGGACCCACCAGCAGCCCTCGAAAATGGCGGCAATTTCGCAGATCGCAGCCCCCCAAGGACGGCGAGGTCTCGCTCAGATCTGCGTGGTGCCTCACTCCGCTTGACCCACCAGCAGCCTTCGAAAATGGCGGCAATTTTGCAGATCGCAGCCCCCACAAGGTCGGCGAGGTCCCGCTCAGATCTGCGCGGTGCCTCACCCCGCTGGACCCACCAGCAGCCCTTGACATTGACGACACTTTCGCAGACCGCAGCCCACATCGACGGCGAAGAGAAAGCAGGAGAAGGCGGGAGGCGGGAGGAGGATAATGACGCGACCGCAGTGCCAACCAATGAGGGTTGGGAACACATGAACTGCGGGCCCCATAGGGAGGGGGCTACCGCCTGAGATTTCCTTGCAATTCGCTCACATACGAAGCTTCCGCCTGATACTTCAGCCAAATTCAGGCCTCATGAGGCAAACATTGGCGACAGTTATAAGATCTCGATGGCCCGCCTCTGATGAAAAGCATGAGCTGCGGCCCCATCGGGAAGGAGGGGGCCCCCGCCGGAGATGTCCTCGCAATCCACTCACAGACGAGGCTCCCGTCTGATACTTCCTCCAAATTCAAGCCTCAAGTGCCCAAAAGTGACGACAATTACAAGAGGCCGATGACCCGCCTCGGATAAAAAAAACATGAGCGGCGGGCCCCATGGAGAGGGGGCTCCCGCCCGAGATTTCCTCGCAATTCACTCACGGACGAGGCCCCCGCCTGATACAGTCGGGGCGTTGACCCAAGGAACCCCAAATAAGGAACGAGGCCCCTTTTTCCCATAAGCTAACTCCGATTTTCCATGGAAAACCTCGGGAAGACCCAAGGAGCACTGTAAAACAACTAAGGAACACGGAGCCCCTCCCAAACGAAAAGGGTTCCTTCTTCAGCGCCCCGACTGTACTTCCTCCATGTTCAAGCCCCCGGGGCCCAACCCCGGATGACAGTTACAATGACGCGCCTCGAATGAAAAGCGTGCGCGGCGGGCCCCCGTAGGGAGGGGGCTCCCGCCCGAGACTTCCTCGCAAGTCGCTCACAGACGAGGCCCCCGCCGGATACTTCCTCCATACTCGGGCCTCAGGGGCCCAAACGTGACG